CCCCTCCCTGGGGCCAGCTCCCCCGCTGACCCCAGTAGGCACTCCCACCCTTAATACACCTCTGCAAAATCTTCACTCCTTTGTTAGTTACTGCCAGCTTTATAGAAGTGACCCCATCATAACACCCCCACGGTGTGCTGCAAACTCTTTGTCTGTGTGCACGAGCACGTGAGTGCCTGTGTGTGCGCGTACCCGTATGTCTATGTGAGTGCACGTAAGTGAGTGTATGTGCGTACCTGTGTGTATGTGTGAGTGCACGTGAGTGTGCGTGTGGAAGTGTGTGCGTAACAGTTAAAACACTATGTGCGTATATCTCTATGTACGTGCCTTCCTGAGGGTCATAAAAGTCCATCTCCCTTCCAAATCAAAGTTATTTAGTTACAAACTTTGAGACTCCCACTCAGGCATGCCCTGAAGAATTTCCACTCAACATTAACCTCTCCTTATCTCACTTTCACAGTTCAAACTGGGGGAGGGTCTCCTAGAAATCTACTCCTAAGTTTATGACACACTCAGGCCTTTATTACATCGAGGGCAGTGTCAGTGTCTCTACAATAATTCTACATTCTAACACATTTCTAAACTCTAAAATAGGTACGCATATCTTCACTATCCTTGTGTATCTTCCATGTATTTGGATGTAAAATTTCTGTTGTTAGGATGAAAATGACACCAGACATCCACCAGTTCCAGTTCAGTCATCATGCCTAGTAGGTCATTTTGGACTGAGGTTTTATTATTACCAGTAATATGTCTAGTTTAGTCTTCAGAGTACAAATTAAAATCTCCTCCCCTAAGTATAATTCCTCCTCCTTTATCTGCCACAAAAGGTGCAATCCCTTTTAAAAAGTGCAGTCTTCATTTTGGGCATACACATTTAAAAAATTTTCTCTTGATTGGGTTAATGATTCTGCTTACATTATAATTTACAAAATGTAAATAAGCCATAATCTCTGTACAATAATATATGCTTCCCTTATTTAAACAATAAACATATTTAACTATCTAACAATGTGTTGACAGCTCCGTGCCCCTCTTTCTCTGCAGCGCATTTTGACTTCGAGTTCCTTCAGCAGCCTCTGTTAGTGTTGCAAAGGTCTTCTCTGTGGTATCCAATCTAATTTTCACTTCTGCCAGGTACAGACATTTCGCCTGCACTTTCTTTTTATTTTAGTTGTTTTATGATTTCTTGAACCTTAGCTCTTTTCTACATTGGGAGTGTAGTCTTGATTGAAGAAGATCCGTTTATCTTGGAAGAAGATCTGTCTCTGGCTCCATGCTTGCTCTATAATCTTATCTTTTATTGCTGCATTGAGGAACGTCACTATCATTCTTGAAGTAGCTGTTTCACAAACCTGACCGTATCCTTTCCTTCACTTCCTTTTGAGATCCATACATCTCAATCTGTTTTGGAGATCCTTGCACTTTGCTGAGAGATCCATATCGCGGTGAATCAAGTATTGCAAACCGCTTTGGTGTCACATGACTTTGAGCCATACTGACACTTTTCTTTTTATGTGTCTGGTTGGCTTGAGTTGCTAGCATTGGTGTTTAAGCTAGCTGGACTCTATGGTCTCCGTTTATCTTCTCTTCTTTTCCAGGTATCTTTAAGAGTTCTTTCTCTCACGGCTTTATGTATTTTGTTGTTTTCTTTATTTAACTGCCTATTACGTACAATACCTACTTGTTTTCTCGTTGTCTGGCGGGCAACCATGGCTTCACCTGAGGTTAATTAGTCAAATAATTACATTAAGACAATAATACACTGTCTTAAATAGAATAAAATTACTGAAAATATCAGTGAAAGTATGTATGTAGTGTATATAATAATATTTCTTAGCATTGAAAGTACTGTGTATGGATGAAAGGTGTTTTTAGGGTCTTCAAGCAACAGTTTAGACTAATGATATGGGGGGAAAACACGTACTCACTATGAGCTTACATAATCAAGCAAGGTTCATAATAAGAAATATGGTTATAAAATTATTATGGCTTCATGCCTGCATTGAAACAACAACAACACACTTTGAGCTTTTCTGACACAGAATCCTAGTGTTAACAAATACCTGCGTACGTGTGGACATAGCCTGACTCATCTAAGTAAAGCAGTTGCAGAATGAAACCATGGTCAGTATATCACACCAGTGATTCGACATCATGTGACTCTCACAGTTTTGCTTTAACACTCGGGTTATGGTACAGGTGAAGCTGCAGAAAACTCAAAATCTTCCTCCAGGAGTCTTCCTGAGCATCTGAATGAGCTTTAGTGTGTCCTCCCCACAGTAATATCACTGAAAAACACACAGTTACAGAGCTAACTAATAAAGCACAAAGCACAAAGCAGAAAATTTTAGCAACCTGGTGTGTAAACATATTTTTAAGGGACCTCAAAATTCAAACCCTTGATTTTCAGGTGTACCTAATACAGGGAGTGCAGAATTATTAGGCAAATGAGTATTTTGTCCACATCATCCTCTTCATGCATGTTGTCTTACTCCAAGCTGTATAGGCTCGAAAGCCTACTACCAATTAAGCATATTAGGTGATGTGCATCTCTGTAATGAGAAGGGGTGTGGTCTAATGACATCAACACCCTATATCAGGTGTGCATAATTATTAGGCAACGTCCTTTCCTTTGGCAAAATGGGTCAAAAGAAGGACTTGACAGGCTCAGAAAAGTCAAAAATAGTGAGATATCTTGCAGAGGGATGCAGCAGTCTCAAAATTGCAAAGCTTCTGAAGCGTGATCATCGAACAATCAAGCGTTTCATTCAAAATAGTCAACAGGGTCGCAAGAAGCGTGTGGAAAAACCAAGGCGCAAAATAACTGCCCATGAACTGAGAAAAGTCAAGCGTGCAGCTGCCAAGATGCCACTTGCCACCAGTTTGGCCATATTTCAGAGCTGCAACATCACTGGAGTGCCCAAAAGCACAAGGTGTGCAATACTCAGAGACATGGCCAAGGTAAGAAAGGCTGAAAGACGACCACCACTGAACAAGACACACAAGCTGAAACGTCAAGACTGGGCCAAGAAATATCTCAAGACTGGTTTTTCTAAGGTTTTATGGACTGATGAAATGAGAGTGAGTCTTGATGGGCCAGATGGATGGGCCCGTGGCTGGATTGGTAAAGGGCAGAGAGCTCCAGTCCGACTCAGACGCCAGCAAGGTGGAGGTGGAGTACTGGTTTGGGCTGGTATCATCAAAGATGAGCTTGTGGGGCCTTTTCGGGTTGAGGATGGAGTCAAGCTCAACTCCCAGTCCTACTGCCAGTTTCTGGAAGACACCTTCTTCAAGCAGTGGTACAGGAAGAAGTCTGCATCCTTCAAGAAAAACATGATTTTCATGCAGGACAATGCTCCATCACACGCGTCCAAGTACTCCACAGCGTGGCTGGCAAGAAAGGGTATAAAAGAAGAAAAACTAATGACATGGCCTCCTTGTTCACCTGATCTGAACCCCATTGAGAACCTGTGGTCCATCATCAAATGTGAGATTTACAAGGAGGGAAAACAGTACACCTCTCTGAACAGTGTCTGGGAGGCTGTGGTTGCTGCTGCACGCAATGTTGATGGTGAACAGATCAAAACACTGACAGAATCCATGGATGGCAGGCTTTTGAGTGTCCTTGCAAAGAAAGGTGGCTATATTGGTCGCTGATTTGTTTTTGAATGTCAGAAATGTATATTTGTGAATGTGGAGATGTTATATTGGTTTAAATGGGTATATATTTGTTTTTTGTTAAGTTGCCTAATAATTATGCACAGTAATAGTCACCTGCACACACAGATATCCCCCTAAAATAGCTAAAACTAAAAACTACTTCCAAAAACATTCAGCTTTGATATTAATGAGTTTTTTGGGTTCATTGACTACAAACACGCACATTACCAACTCCGGAAGACGATCAAAGCAGCCAAACGTGAGTACAGGGACAGGGTGGAGCAACAGTTTGACAACCCTCGGAGTATGTGGCAGGGACTAAACACGATCACAGACTTTAGAGGGAAAACCAGCACACCGCAGACCACGGCCTCTCTGTGTGAGGATCTAAACGTATTCTACGCTAGATTCGACACAGCGAACACCATGAGACCGGACAGTGTGCGCACCGCGGATGACGTCAGTGCGCACACTGTGTCTGAGGAGGATGTGCGGAGGTGCTTCAGGAAGGTGAACGCACGCAAAGCTACTGGTCCGGACGGGATTCCCGGCCGCGTCCTCAAGTCATGCGCGGCTCAGCTGGCTGGAGTGTTCACGCACATCTTCAACCTTTCCCTCTCTCTGTCTGTAGTCCCAGCCTGCTTCAAAATGGCCACCATCGTCCCTGTACCCAAATCCTCCACCATCTCCTCATTGAACGACTGGCGACCTGTAGCCCTGACCCCCATCGTAAGCAAATGCTTCGAGAAGCTGGTCAGGGACTTCATCTGCTCTGCACTACCCGACTCACTGGACCCTCTACAGTTTGCATACCGCCACAACAGGTCCACTGATGATGCCATAGCCCTGACACTACACACTGCCCTGTCACACCTGGAGAAGAGAGACACGTATGTGAGAATGCTGTTTGTAGATTACAGCTCAGCATTCAATACCATCGTTCCCTCGAAGCTGGACAGGAAACTGCAGGATCTAGGACTGAGCAGCTCCCTCTGCAGCTGGATCCTTAGCTTCCTGTCTGACAGACGCCAAGTGGTCAGACTGGGCAGCATCACCTCATCCCCCATCACACTGAACACTGGTGCTCCACAGGGGTGTGTACTGAGCCCTCTCCTGTACTCACTCTACACCTACGACTGCACAGCCACTAACAACTCCAACATCATTGTGAAGTTTGCGGACGACACTACAGTGGTGGGTCTTATCACCAATGGTGATGAGACGGCTTACAGGGAGGAGGTCAGCGCCCTGACCCACTGGTGTCAAGACAACCATCTCACCCTCAACGTCGCAAAGACAAAGGAGTTGATAGTGGACTTCCGGAGGTGCAGAGAAGTACACACCCCCATCACCATCAACGGCGCTGCTGTGGAGAGAGTGAGCAGCTTCCGGTTCCTTGGTGTACATCTGGCTGAGGATCTTACGTGGTCAGTACACACAAACAAAACAGTGAAGAAGGCGCAGCAGCGCCTCTTCTTTCTCAGGAGACTGAAAAGATTCGGCATGAGCCCCCGCATCCTCAGGACCTTCTATCACTGTGCCATTGAGAGCATCCTCACTGGATGCATCACCACCTGGTATGGCAACAGCACCGCCTACAACTGCAA